GTACCAATCCTTTTATATAACGTTTTGGAGATTTTTTTTTTTTTTTTTTAGACGTAAAATAGGGAAAATTAACGGTAATGGATTGAGTGTAAATTACATTACCGTGAATGGCCACGTGAAAATTTTTTCAGTCCTCGAGAGGAAACCGGCCCCGCAGATGTGCATGCGCCAAGGAGATGGAACGAAGTTACCAGAAAGTGTAATGAGATTCCAGGAAATCCACCCTTCCACCACGTCTCTATCGTCCATTTTACGTGCCGTTTCGCGCCCAGTGTACGAAGAAAATTCGGACGATGCCGGGGATAGCGTGCCACTGGAATTTCGATTATAATTGAGCATTATGGAAATATTATTATTTATTGTTACAAACAATCTTTTTCTCGATGATTAATTCTTACATCGAAATTTTTAATAATAACACATTGCCAATTCTTGATATGTCGTTTGAGGAAATAAAATCTTTTATCATTAAAATATTTTTAAATAATAGATTACGAAAGTGTCTGAAAAATAGTATTGGAAAAAATATTGGATAAGAACAACGGAATCATAGAAAGAGAAAGTTATAAACAGATTTATAATTATTACGTGATACAATGCTTATGAGATAATTTGTCCAATAAGAGGAGAAACGAGTTTTACGAAGTTTACATTAAAGACTGAGGAATTTTTAGAAAATTTTAAATATTATATAAACACAATTCTGAAGAAAAATTTAATTTGAAAATCCACATAAATAACTAATATACATTTATATAATTATTCGACAAATGTCAGTTCATGTTAGACTTAATAACGCTGAAAGTTCGCCATTTTGTACGAGGAACGGAATAGAAGAAAGAATTCCATCCATTTTGACGCAACTTTATCCACTGCAAACGAATTTCGAATTCGATATCGCGGAACAAATTTCCGATTCTTCTCGTTTTGGATCCAAGGGACAGAAAATAGAAGATGCGCGAATTTCTCTGGAGTTCATTTCGGTCCTCGAACTTACGGCGGCGATACGGAAACGTGGAGATGATAAATCATGGAGAATTAACTTCCAATTCGTTGTTATAAATACACTGTAGATAGAGATAATTTAACACATTTAACATCAAATTATAAATATATATGTGTTTTGAAATTAGATTTTTGCATTGATCTCTTTACTCTCGTAATAATTTTGAAATATATCTTTGCGTATATTTATACAACATTAATTTGTAGAATATTTTATGGCAAATATATACGCGTTTTGATTCTTTGGAATTTAATAACGATTTCAATCAATTCGTTAAAAACGTTGAGATAATAATTGTATAATAATTGGATTATTTGTATGTAAGTTTGAAATTTGATATAGTCAACGCCAAGAAGGAAGCGAAATATAGAAAATTACTGGGTAGATAAATGACGTAAATAAAGAGACGTCGATACTAAACGAAGTCGAACGACGTTCGACTCGCTCCTCGAAACAATTACCACCCTCCTGATAGGATATAAACGAGAGGATATTTCGATAATGAAGATCAGAACATTAACAATAAACGATAATAGAAGAAATTGAATTAATTTTAACGTTTCCTCCCTATTTTTATATTTGCAATCGCTTCGTTCGATTATATAATTCTCTAAAAAAATTAAGTAAAGTATTCATTGGTTTGGCTCTCCCGTCTAGTTTTAATATCGGATGCAGATTGATGAAAGAAAATTGGGAAAATGAAAAAGCAAAATTACGGATCGATCCACTCCTTCACTCGAGTGAAACTTTCTTCCTTTGATCCTCCTCCTCCACTTTTTTTCTTCTCTCTTTTCTTTCGGTAACAAGCTACCGATTGCAATTGAGATTCCAGACGAGAGTCATCGACTGATTCTCTCGTTTTACATCTGCGTGTCACGTTCGACCCTTCTCTTCGAAGACGTTGCCCGTTTCAAAGCAGTCATCGATGCAGACACAAGGAAACGAGGTTATGCATCTCGAGTTGTGTAATTTCGTTTTGATCGAAACGAAACTACAAACGGAAATATTTTCTCTCGATTATATTCGTCATTGGAAACAGACAACGTTAAAAATAATATTTCAAATCAGCATTCTGGGGAGAAATCGAAGAATTGTTAATGGACGAATAATTCTATTAAATTAAATATTAAGAAGCAAAAATTCAAAATTTATCGAGTATTTGTAGAGAAATTTCAATTAATAAATCTCACAGGGTGGAGATATCACCCTGTGGAGAAAAAGAAGATCAAAGCGGATATGAAAAATCTGAAATGAAGATTAAGATTAAATATATAGAATAAGGGAGAAAGAAAGAGATTGTTGATTAAAAATTTATGCGATATTAACAAGAAAAAAACAAGATAAAATTATTTATTATTAATCGTCAAAAAAGAATTTCTGAGAAGAAAGCTTGGCTTAGTAATAAAGAAACATTTATTAATTTAGAAGAACTGTCACACGAATAAGAAATAAGGGAAATTACGATCACCAACAAAGCTTTGTACGAAAGACGTAAAAAAGACAAGTAGCAAAGGTTAACAGAGTGGCAAAATGAGAAGGAAAGAAGTGGAAAAACGAGCGAGTTAGCCGACAAAAGGTTTAAAGCCGCGAATAAAAAGGTGAAGAAACACCGTGGCGGGGTACAAAGGATATTAGAAGAGATTCATAATTTTCGTGCAGCGAGGAAAACATCGGTGTCATTCGTGTAAAAATTGTGGTCGAGGAAATGAGAGTGGCGAAAGGATGAACGAGAAACTCGAAAGGAACGAGACTAAGAGTGGAAGAATGAGAAGCGAAGAAAGATTATTAAATGGAGGGATAGAAAAGAGGGATTACAGGAAGAGCATAAAGGAGACTAAAAGTGGAAGAATAAGAATGGGGAAAATTGTCAAGCGAAACATTTGAGATAATAAAACTGATTACGAGAGTGAAAATTATTCTTGGACAGCACGGAAATAATTCCCGAAATTTTTATTTTTAAATATTTATTTAATCCAAAAACGAATAAGAAACGAGATTAAGAATGGAAGAATGAAACTAGAGAAGTGGAGAAAAATTGCTAACAAAATGGAGGGATGGAAAAGAGGAATTACAAAGAACACGATTTAAAACACGCAAAAAAGAGAATCGAAGAAGAATAAAGAAGAATAGGAAAGATTGCCAAGGAAAACATAATTTCTACAGGTGAAAGTTATTATTGGACGACACGAACCAATTCTCGAGATTTTGATTCTTAAATATATTAGCGAATCCAAAAAACGAAGACGAATAAGGAACGAGACTAAGAGTGGAAGAACGAGAGTAGAGAAGCGAAGGAATATTGTTGATAAAGTGGAAAAGAGAGAATTATGAATTGCACGATTTAAAGACAAAAAGAAGGATCGAAGAAAATTGAAGAAAGAATAAAGAAGATTATCGAGGAAAACATTCGATTGTGATTAATTAATTTTTGCATTATTCTTAGAACGGAAACAATTCTCTCTCGACACTTTTATTCTCTTCAATGTATCTTGCACTCTCCAATATAATACAATACAAAGAGAAGTGGCATTGGAAGGATATCGAGAAGTACATAGGAAATTGCGGAACGGGGGATGAAGCTCGAGATGAAACATTCGCCCGATATTTTACGAGTCGAGATCTTTCGTAGATTAATTAGAAGTCTCGCGTCTCATCCTGACTAAGAGGTTATGTACCCGGCTATGAATTAAGTTTCATCCATCCCCCCCTCCCCCCACCATTATCCACGGTACATACCGCTCCGCGACTAACGAATGGGCGGCCCTAGTTTAAAAAATTGTTTCGAGAGAGAGAGATGAGAAGGAGAGAAGGAGGGGGGGATGAATCCAACGGAGAGTATGTACGGAGAAGGATGGAAGGATGGGTGAAACGACAGCGTGGTCCGCGACGAAGACGATTAATCAGAGGGAGGTAAACACGAGGCCCATGGACTGAAATTAATTTGTATTCTTCTTCGATGGAGGCGCGCTTCAACGGTCCTTTTTTCTTTCTTTTTTTTTTTTTAAAGGCCTCGAAAAATTGGCGGTAAAAGTGGAGGAGGTGAACGAGGCGTTTAGGTATTTGTTCGTGGAATGGAAATTCAATCATTGCGGACAATTTCTAAAAAGATTGATTGAAATATAAATTTAATAGTTGATTGGAATAAAATAATACAGTCGGCTGGAAGGAAATAACATGTTTATAATAAGAGAATGTGTTTTTGGTTTGGCGATGCGTTTTTTTCTTTTTTTGATAACGATACTACTGTTTCATTCTTTGTATATGAAAAAAAGAAATATAAAAGGGGAGACTTGTTTTACGCTGAATCATTTGTTTCAACACGGTTTGTTTCATAATTGGACAAAAAAAGACACTAAAAACGATTCGTAGAATAGATAACATGTAGAAGCCTTTATGTTACTTATATGTAACTTATATGTAACTTATAAATTGTATCGCTTCACTTTACTTAGAAGGGAAAAAACAGACAGACAGGTTTCCTTTCAATTATTCATGGATCGAATTAATCAAATCATCGATCGAAGAATTACATTTATTTTCTTGCAGTTATCCACTTTACTCGTCAAAAATATATCGGTCCGATTATTAAAAATTCTATCGTACGATATACGATATCATATCGTATTATCCTCCTTTTGAACATTCAAAACACGATTAACCGACTTTACAATCATATATCGTATTAAAACCCCTCTCTCCCCCCTTTCTTTCTCTCTCTCTCCACACGAATCGCTCGCTTTCTCGAAAAAGATGGAAAGAACGAAAACAAAACTCAAAGTTCGTCTCCCCCGTTTATCGAATCGAAATTAAGGAGAGTATATAGGGGGCGAAGATAAACGCGAGGAAGAGAAAAAAGGAGAGGAGGAGAGAAGGAGGTACGGCCGTAGGGGGAAAGTGGCCGGAGCGAAGAAGGGAGAGAAAGAGGCGCGTCTGCTACGGTCTTCCTGTCGTTATGCTCTCCCACGGCCAAGCCTAGTCGAATTTCGCTCTGATCTCCGCTCGTAGCGAGCGTACAGTCGCGTCTCTGCGCCCGTGTTCGCCGCTTCGTTTCCACTCCACGATCGGTCTTCGTTCATCGCGTCGCGATTTTTCGATAAATTTACGGACCCTTCGCCTCTTGTGAGACAAGATAGGGAGCTCGTGATAATAACTAAAAGGCGAATCGAATCGGATCGAACAGGATCCGTCCCCGCGAGGAGCGAAAAAAGTGGTGTGGAAGAAGCTTGGGATGGGAGGGGGATGAAGAGGTCGAGTTAGATGGGGAAACTTTGAAAGACTCGATCGGCGTTCGGCGATTGTAGGTGCAACGAGGGGGATCGAATGGCGATGAATTCGCGGATCGATCGGTTCTTCGCGAGAGAAGAATGTTGAGATTGAGAGGAGGAGCGGCGTGAACGAAAGTGAAATGGGATTGGAGGGTTTTCCTGTTTCGAGGGAATAATCCTTCCATTCCATTTTATTTATTTTTTATCAAAGGTGTCGAAATAATTACCGAGGACGATCTCACGGTTTAAAGAAAGGTGGTGGAATAATTGAAAGGAGGGAGAAAAGTGTAAAGAAGGAGAAGCGTAAAGGTGATAAATTAAAGCGAAATGGGAGATCGTGGTGTCTCCTCTGGAGGAAAGAAAGCTAGGAAATGAAGGAGCGGGATAATAACGCGATCAAAGAAAGCGATGATTAAACTGTCGAAGTGTAGTTGAATCTTGAATAATTAACTCGTATTTTTTTTCTCTACGAAAAGACAAGCAATTATTTATGTTATTTGTTTTTGCACAAAACTATTTAGAGAAGAACATTTGCGAACATTGCTTCGATAATTCTCAGAGATTCGAATTCGAAGATCGATCTAACGTGACAAAAGTGAAAAAGTTGAAAAATTAAGTTAGAAAAGAAAAAAAAAAAAAAAAAGTCAGGTGCTGGAGCAAACTTTTGATCGAATCGAGAATCGGGAGTAAATTTTCGTTGGGACAGCCGATAACTGTTACTTTTCAACGGAACGCCGCGCTAATTTCGAGCAGATAGCTCCTTCGTAATTGTCCGATCTCCCTCCAGAGATTATCCGGATGCGATTGCGTGCGTTGCATCGCGCTGCATTATGCAACGAAAGCGACGATTTAATCGACCAGAGACGAGCTTACGTTGAAACGCTCGAAGATTACCTGTGGGAATAGAATTGGATGGAGAGTAGAGTAACGAGCAACGATATCGATCGCACGCGTTAAGTATTTATAACCGTGCCTTATCAATCCTGCACACAGACGACAAAACGTTTTCGAATATATACAAATACGAAACCTCTTCTTCGAAAGAACCTCGATCGTCGCGCTTAATTCCTCTCTCCAATTATCTAATTATTTAAAAGGCTTCTTAAATTATTTAACATCTTTTATTTAACAAAACAAGTTTCTTCAAATGCGAAGATAGACGAGCGAAAGATATTTAAATCGCTCGCCAAGTCTCTTTCGTGTAACGAACAAACAAAAATAAATAAAGTGGATAAATAATCGAGATGGATTTACAATATCCATTGTGCGGTGTCAGTTTCGTGCTTCTTCTTCGTATACTCGAGTGTCCAGCGAGGGAAGAAATTTAAACCTTCTACTAACTCGTATCTCGTTTCGACGATTCAAGTAAGAGATCGGTTTTACTTCGATCGATTTGTTTCGAAAATTTCGAAGGTGCGGATTATTCACGATGACGACGAGAAATTTTATGATCGTTTTATCGTTGCTCATCGATGCTTCTTACGCGTTCAACAAATGCTGCTCCCCCGGCGAAGTTTTCACGGGGACGTCGAAGGTGAATTGTGCTCCAACACCTCTCAACTGTTCCATCGAACTGTTCCTCGCCAACGGAAGTAACAGCGGATTTCCTATTTGCGAGAAACCCGAATATATCGCCACGACTCCGCTCGACCAGCTCAACTCTATGAGTTTCGTACAGGTAATCGGCGCGACGAGTAAGATCCCGTTTTTTAACTCTCTCGATTTTACGATCTTTCTTTCTTTCTTTTTTTTTTTTTTTCTTCTTGTATTCACAGAACACGTCCTGTATAGAAATTCTTCACGAACCATCCACATCTCAGAACGTACCGATACTCGTGCATTGTAACTCGAACGAGAAGGAGCAACTCTTTTCCTCCCAATCCTTGTCGAAATTGCGATTCTTAAACGTTAGAAGGTGTTGCTCGAGCAACGAGGTGTTTAACGTAATGCCAGGAAACTGTGAATCGTCTAAGAACGTTGAAGATGATCTTTTAACGTTTTTTAACGTCACTGCGAAGGACGAGTTTCAGAATATAAAGATAATTTCGATCAATAAAGAATTGCTTGAATGCCCAAAATCGAACGCCATGTTTACTTATGAAATCGATGCAGAGGACGTCACCATCCTCGATGAATCTTTAAAGGTGAGCATATTTTATATTTCATATGTCGGCCTCGCCGAGCGAGGCGAACATCGAGAATTTTAACGAAGAGCACGATAAACGAGGTGTTATTCGTATGAAAATGTTGACGAGACGTTATAATTAATCAATTATTTTGTATATTCCGCTCGCATCTCTCTCTTCTCCGTTCCGTGATATTTTGCGGATAAGATTATAATTTGTTAGAAAGAACTTAAAAAAGAATTTTTTTAAAAATCACGCAACGTGAAAACGATACATACGTTGTCATTGTCGACAAATATTTTTATTTATTACACACTTTATTACCATTTATTTTATTTATTCCGTTAAATTACAGAACGATTCGAAGGATTCTTCTCTGTGAGCAAAATCAGATCACGTTTAGACGTGAAAAAAAAAAAAAAAAGAAAAAAGAAAAAAACGTGACTTTGCCATTTTAATGAGAAATTCCTATCTTCCTCGTGCTACGCGATTCGTGGTAAATTAAATGTAACTAGTTAAAACGAATGAATAACTGAATGAATCGGCTGGATTCGATGAAACAATTTACATACACAGTTTCTTAATTCTTCTAATTTTCTCGAAAAGCGAGAGAAGGAAGAACCTGTTGTGGAATGTTAAATTGATTCGTGTTTCATTAATGGAAGGATGCAAAAAAAAGATAAATATCGTTGTGTCGCTTTAATCAGAAGTATATATTAATTTTTTAAAAACAGATATTCATTTCACGTTGTTCAGAAATGTTAATTAATTAATTAAATTTAATTAATTAAGATTAAAAATATAAAATATAAAAGTTAAAATTCTGAAAGCTCTAAAATTTAAAAAATTTTAATTTCAAAATTTATATTTAACGTTGTTCCACGTTTAGGTTAGATTTTTCCCTAGATTAGGTTCAGATTAGGTTTTTTCCCCTATATTATTTTGTAGAACGATTCAATTGTTTTCGATCGATCATAAAAGATTAATGAAGATCATGGCAATCAATAAAAATTTTTGAAATTATTAAGATTTGAACAACTTAGATTCAGCATTATTTTTTGTTGTTAAGTTAGATTCTCTGATTTTCTTCTTGTTAGATAACATGCATATTTATTTGATTCTTTTCCTCTTTTTCGTACTTATATTTTTTTTTCTATTAGATTTGATTCAATTATTTTCGAAACGACTGACTAACAATGAAAATATAAAAATAAATTTATTGATCGATCTTGGGAAGATAGAACTATTCGTTTATTCGAAGAAAAGAAATAAATCTTAACAATGATTGTCCAAATAATAGTACGTGCTTTGTCGAATACACATTTATTTACACGTATATTTTCTCTTAATTGCTTTCTATTATCATTTATTTCAATTTTATTCTATTTATAAAGTTATCGTTATAGGGAAGCATGACAATTTCAATATTCTTATTCATCCTGTTCAATATTTGATCGTATCATTTACCGTACTTCTAACGATTAATTTTTTTTATAAATGATTTTTCCAATTAGATAGAAGAATTTAAACATGCAATATAGTATATCAATGTAAGATATTTAAATTAGAATTAAGAATAATACTATATATAAAGTAAATAGAATAGATTAAAAACAACACTGAAATAAAATCGATTTTATCCAAATATTTCGAAGCAGACAGCAGAATATTTATTTTAATTTCAGGGAAAAATAAATTTAAAATTTTTTTTTTCTTCTCTCAAAATGTATAATAATCTGAGAAACAAACACGAGAAATCAATATCAAGACACGTATACGTTCAATTCGAGGATTGGTGAGAGAGTTTCATGATCCTTCCCTTGTCTTCCCCTTTTTCCCCCTTTTGTCTTCCCCAAAAACGAAATATAAACGATAGGAAAAAAAATCGAGTTCATCACGTGTTCTCCATACGAGTGTATACAACAATTTGCGTAAAAGTCGAGGAAAAAAACTAATTCGTTTCGTGGCAATATATTTATCGATCGAAAAAAAAAAAAAAATTGTGCGATCGAAAAGAAAATATTTTCGTTGGAATGACGCGCATGTATGCTCGATATCGCGCAGTATTTCTCAACTTTCTTCGATCGTTCTATTCCCTTTCTTCTTTAATATCCAAACAAACAAACAACTTGACGATTACAAAGATTTACAATTCGAAAGATTTCCACTTGCGTTTGTTGTTTGTCCCGCGTGAGAAATCTTGTTATCTTCATGAATACGTTAATAAATTCGTGTTTACGTAATTATACGTTTCATTTATTTTCCACGCATGACAAATTTTCGTTCGATTACAATTTACGAATGTACCGTTTTTTTGAAATTTAAAAAAAAAAAATCCCTACATTCGTGGAATTTATTCTTGCGTTCTGTTTTTTTTCAAATTTAAAAAGAAGGACACTCGTGTTTATTTTTATCTAACATTTCAGAAATTTAATACCTCTGCATTAATACAGACATTCCGGTAATATATTTAAACCATGATATATGTATATATATACATATATAAAACCTGTTACGTAAGTGAGAATGATACGATGAAAAATTTACGGACGGTGTACTCGACAAATGAATTATTCCACCATTCGCGTCCATACGTATCTGTTAGGACGGGCAAAAATTATACGTTACGTGTGAAATTACAATAATTGTAAACGATTTGATCTCAATGGTGGTATACTTTATATCTCGTCAATTCTCTACCTAATTAATATAGTATGTTAAATATTAAAAGGGGGAAGGGGGAAAAAAAATGTGTAAAATTAGCGAGTCTTTCTAGTCGTTTTACAGTCGTTTTATTATTCCCTTGCTTCTCTATTTCTTCTCGCATTAGCGTAATTTAGCGCGACAGGGGAGAATGGTCGAGATCCAATTACTCTCCAGAAACTAGAGAGAAACTATTAAATTAGTTCGTATCGCATGAGATTCTTACATTAGTCACATCTGTATCATATAAAGTAAATGAAACTTCGATTATATATGGTTATCTAAACTTTAGGACAGAGAGAATCTCCGTCTTGTTGTAAAATCTACTTGTTTAAAATACGATCGAAGAAGAATTATTCAAGGAAATATCTCAGTGTCAGAGATCATTCAAATTATTGCGTATTATGTACAGTATATTTTAGATAGAAGATCGATAACCTATTATCTCTTAGTCGCGTTTATAGAACGGATCCGGCGCCAACAACATTTTCTATCGAAAATTCTTCGTTATTTCTCGATCGATAAAAAAGAGAAATCGTTTATTACGAGTATAAATAATTACGATTCCCTTCGTTTCCCTTAGTCGCAATATCAAACGAGTTCAACCCCAACTTCTTAACCAAACTTAATCTGCATAAATACCTAATAAATAGCTCCTTTCAAAAGAAAAAAAAAAAACCACGATTCTTATCTCAATTTTCGATCGCGAATAAAAAAAAAATATAAATTTACACTCGCAATTTTATCAATCATCTTCAACAATTTATGGACAAGGCTCGAAGCGTTGCATAATCGAATAATTGATTCCACGATCACGACCTACCATCATCTCTCGCGTCTCGAACGAGTGGACAGAGATCGAGAGAACCGGTTGTTGTCGCAGCTATTATCCGGCTTCTCTTCATTCATACGTATACCGAGAGTGCGCCTCTCTCTCTCTCGTTTATCTATCTATCTTACGCCTATGCGCGTAAACTATGAAATCACGCGCGCGTTAGTAAGTTTTAAACAAATAAATAAACGACGATCGAAGCTGGAGTGGGACCAGCCGATTTCCATCGCGATCCCTCATTTCTTTTCGAACGTTCGTTTATCATCCGGTCTGTTTTCACACGATATAACGTACGCACGGTTTATAACAGGGACTGGAATAGACGAGTTTTTATTTCCGTGCAACGTTCTTCCTCTTCTTCTTTTTTTCTTTCCTTCCACTTGTTACTATTTTCTCTTGTGTATCTAACGCAGGTTTGTTTTTTTTTTCTTTTTTTTTCGAAAGGAGAAATCCCCGGAAACGGTTGCCCCTTAACAGATAATTGTTTCAATTTGGCGTGTTTTGTTAATTCTCTATAAATGAAGGTCGTTCACGAAGATTCAAAGAGATAATTGATAGGTAGCGTGATGGATTTATAATTTCGTATCGTGTTGTTGTATCGGGTGTAATGGATTTTTAATGGTTGTTAAATTGAAAAATATCGAGTTCACCTTTATGATATCACGCGATATCACGTTGGAAAAATATTTTTTAATTACATTTCATTAATTTAACTGTGTCGTTCTACTTTTTTTTTTTTTTTTATCGAAAGATCACAACACGGAATCGATACGTAACTCGATTCGATAGATACCGGTTTCGTACGTAAGCCGGGTCGCGAAACAAGCACAAAATGGCGAATCAGCCGAAAAGATGCGGCCTCTTCGACACGTTCCGCGCCATGGGGTGAGCGGAGCGATTAGGCACGTAGCCAGAATTTTATTCCCAGAACAAGGGAAATTTTTACAGAATGAATCGAATCCCGCAATGTTCCACTTTAATTTCGTAATGAATGAACGAGTGACCTGGAAAAAACGAATGATTAATATTATTACTCGTCGAACGTTTCGAGAAATTCTATCAATCTAATAAATCAATAACAAAAAAAAAAAAAAAAGAAAAAACATGGGATTATGAATATTAAAAAAAAATATCGAAAAATTATTTACTTCGTCGTTTCGAAAAATTATATTCGATTACAGAGAGTTTCCTTTTTCCTTTATTCATCCAACATCTCAGAATCACGTGGATGTATCTATCTTGTCTTGTCATCGAATTGATTCAAAACCAGTTTCGAACGATCTTATACGACGTTTTTATACCGTGTAAATTTTATTTTTCGTTCAATGCTTGCTCAGCTATTTCGCCGCGTACGATTCGATACCCCCGAAACGGAAGCGGTCGGATCCAGGATTTGATATTTGAACTTTATGGTTCGTGCCCCATAACTTTAAACTCCCTTGACGGATAACGAATTTGATAAAAAGAAGGGTTCTCCTTTAACTTTCTCGTCGATAATTCTCTCTCGATCGTGACGAGAAGAAGAACCCATGGTTTACATTTCTCTCGACGTATCTCTCGTTTGAGATACGTTGGCCACCTTCTCGCGAAAATATGGATTTTTCAAACTTTTGCACGTTTTTTTCTTTCTCCCCCTGTTTCGAAAACAAGCGAGACAGATTTATATTTACGGTTCTTTCTTCTTCCTAAAAAGAATATTTGATCGCCCTCCTCGATCGGATTGTAAAAAACTCGGCCGCCATTTTTGCGTGTTCTTGTCGCGATGCATGTTCCTGTAGAACTGCGTTCTACCTGACGAAATAAACAACGAGAAGTTTAGTGAAACGTTGGCTTATCTCTCGCTCGTTGGTTTAATCGTTGGTCGAAAAAATCTTTACCGACAAATGTTTGCACCGGTAAAAGTATCTCGTTTTCTCTAATTTTTAGATGTGGAAAATTCAGATTTACCTTTTTTCTTTCTTCTTTTTATTTCGTAAATTTAAATAGGCATTCATCGACGATTTTTACTTTCTCTCCAATGTCTCTTTCTCTAATCGAATATTTTTTCCCTCTTTTTTCGTCGAATAATTTTTCATCGAAATTAATACGTAATTAATTTTCGGCGAGTTACTTTCTAAATTTCGTTGAAATTGACATGTTTTGTCAATTCTAACGATTGGAAAATGTTAAGAAATTAAATTTAATCTCAATGAGATTCGTAAAACAGATTGAATACGATATTTGTTTCGTCAAACTAGCACGTTTATCCTTTTCCATGAACGCAAATTTAAAGGTAAAATCAACATATTGTTGTACATGTTCCTTCGTCAGAAATTATCAATAAAATTACAACTAATAAACTAGTCAAACACGTAACACCAACAAAGCATTACCCAACATTCACCTCAAAATGTTTACCCTTTCCTATCGAACCTTTATCCCAAGGCAACCCTTTGCATAACCTCTTTCATCCATAACTTTTCGCATATCCCCATATATATATATATATATATATATACTACACAAAACTATTCAACATTATATCTAATAACTTCAGCATAACTTTTAAACGCTTTGTCAAATCTTTATTTTTAAAAAGATAATTTCTTATTCGAAACATATATTTTATTATTAAATACCTCCTCTAATTTTCTATGCATCACCGTATATTGTATAAAACTATTCAACATTTACAAATTCCAATCAACACCAGAGCTTTTAACCAGCTCTAACTCTATCTCCAATTATCCCTCTATCAAACATTCAAAATATCATCCTTTATCTCACAATTTCTCGCTCGGAACGCGTATCCTATTGCACAATCACATCAAATAATCCAATAATCCAGTGCACAAATCCTCATTTAACTTTCCATACACGCGAAATCATTCAATACGTCCGAAAATTTTCAAATCCCGATAAACAAGAGGTTTTAACTAACTCTAACTACCTCTAATTATCCCTCTATCGAAATATTCTCTTTATCTATCTCTTGCTCTTGCATCCCACGTCAAATCCAAAAATAATCCACGAATCCTCGTCTCAAACTTCCCGCATAATTTCATACACCGCGCGTAAAAAAAATTCGACGCATCCCAACATTTATAAATTCCAAAAGAAAGGACGACTTGCAATAAGGATTAACCCTTAATTACCCCCTCCATTACCAAAGTTTCAATCCTATTTCACGCTCGAGATCACATTGCCTCGAATCCAATAACTCGATATTACTACGATCTCTTAAACGATCGATTCCACTTCCAATACTCTCAATCGAAATTCATCACGACGTCTCGTGCGACTTTTTTTTTTTTTTTTTTTTTTTTTTTTCCTTAATCAGAGGCAATAAATATCGGCGATCCTCTTTCGTTGTCCACGCAGCGGCGCGGATCGGTCTCCTCTCCCTTTCCATCCGTCGTCCATCGTCGAAAGGATGAGAACGATGTGGTAAATAAATTCGACTCATCGGTTGGGAATCTACGGGGCGTGGTGGCACACCGGTGTGCAATGGCGTAGCAACGATGCGCCGCCGATGAAACCAAGGACCGCATTGCGGACGGTGAACGGATAGAACGGTCTCTGATTCCAATCGAACGTGTCCTTGCCACACTCGATGCCCGGTAAAACCCTACCGTTTTTCCTAATAAACGCTTCGCCTCTCACCGAGATTCTTTTTTCCTCTCTCTCATTCGAATTTTGATGAATCTTTTTTGTTCTTGGTCGTTTGAGAGGGATGGAGTTTCGGTTGTCGAATTTTCGAGTCGAGGAGAGAGGAGTTATTAGGGAAACGAAAAGAATATTCTCATGTTGGGAATCTTAATCTTTTTTGAAGGTTTAAGTTTTGGAGTTGAAGGAAGGGGATGGTATCGATGAATATTGGAGAAATTAAATTTCATGGGAATTTCGCCAGTTTTGAAGAAAATAGCGATGAAATTTACAAAAGATATGATGTAAAAAGAACGAAGGATGTAATCAAGTATTTTACCCTTCTTGCATCCAAGGATACAATAGGTAAAAATAATTATCATAATAAAAAAAGAAAATTGGAAAATATCACGCATTTGCTCTATTTAAAATATTTTGACAAGAATTCCGTCGATTTTTCGACTACTTGCCCGAAAGGAGCAAAGAATATCACGTCTCGTCAAAGGGAATAGTCATCCATAAACTGAGAGAGGAAGTGATCATGAAATTTCTTTCGCTTTTTTTTAAAAGTTCGACACCTCTATTACAGCGTCTCGTCGACACGAGATCGTCGACACCTCGTTTTCTCTGTCATTATTTCGCAAGGTGAACGATCGGAAAACGAAATGCCGGGGATGTCGTCTATTGAAAACGAGATAACGAGCGGAAATAAGATTTTTGTGTTAACGCGGGGGCGGGGAAGGAGAAGAGAGAAAGAGAGAGAAAGGTCTGGCGCTTGGTGAAAACGACACCGAGATTACCACATTCGTCATGTGGCGCAAGAATAACCTCGTAAATCACGCTCGAATCTTTCCATCCTCCTCCGTTTTCCCATGATTTCCGTTAGTAAGTTTACGATTCGTGGCATCCGTTTCCTTTTTCAACCACGTCCTCTTTATCTTTTCGATGCTTGCTTGATTAATTCTTTCTTCTCTTCTGTCCGATATCTGATTGTTCAATTATGGCTCGTTACACATGCACTTACGATAACTTTTAAGAGAGCGCGATTGAATTACGTTTTACAATTCTCGGCTAGAAATTATTCGATCATTCTTTGGAAAATGGAATAACTATTTTAAATTAATTAAATTCACTTAAATTCAATTAATTTAACGATCTCTCATAAACAAAATGCCAAGAAATTTCTGCTGACAATACAATTAGATTAAACTTCGAAAAGCGACGTAACTACAATTCGTTTATTGCAGAAATTCTCAAGCACCGTTACAAGAATTCCTGAAACGCCTTTCTTTACATCCTTTCCGATACCATGGAAAAGGTGTTCCACACCATCCGTGGAACCGTGGAAGATATTTCGAAGAATCCAGCCAAGCAGCCAGACCCACTTTCCTCTTGCGCGAACGTCAAAACAATTTAGCCTTTCAAATTTGCCGCGCTTCAGGAATGTATACCCGATCCGGTCCGGTTGCTCGGTCGGTAAATCTTCTCGCAGCAGACTATGCGAAGCATTTCGGTATAATTTTCCAGGTGAAGGTGTACTCGTGGGAAAACCAAACCGTGGAGAGTTTCACGATCACAGAGAAGAACTCGTGTCTCGCGGTGACGCCGGATTTCCGGTCGAAACGGCGCATAGTTGTTCGCGTCTGCAGGGACGAAGAATTGTGTCGGGACGGCAACTGTGTGAATAAGTGTTTTAAAAAGACTAAATCCATGTGCCAGGAAATACTGATAAGCAATTTGACTTTCTACGACAAGATTTCGAATATCACTGGGACACCTAGAAACGTCACAGGTTTGTGTATATTGTGATAAGTTATGTCATGGAACGCGAAAAAAAAAAAGACGATTTTCCGCTTTCTCCTCCTTCGTTTCATTATTTGTTATTCGCGCATTTATATTCTTTATTTTTCTTTGTTTGTTTCTCTTCTTCTCGAAGAATATGGGGTGATCAGATTTGAATTGAATTGCTCAAACGGAATGTATATGGAACGCATAGAGGACACGTTCGGGATATCATCGAATGGAAGCTTGAAGCTATTGCCAGACAGGGAATGGTTGACGCAAGACAGTTATTGCGTGGATATGTTATTCAACAACAAACAGGACAACTATTGTAAGGAAGATTTGTACGCCTTAATCTGCTTCCCCGAAAGCACTGAAAACAGGTGAGAGACCTTTTTTCATTTTATGTTATCACGCCTTATCGCGTAGTAAATTAAATAGATTCGATTCATTTGATATTAGTTAGTTAGTTAATTCAATTTTTCTGTAGCTCTGATAACGAAGTAAAAATAAAAATATCCGTTAAACCGTCGAACGATAGATACGGATCAGAAAATATCAAATTAAAAAGAAAAAGATTTAAATGTTTATTTATTTAAAAGAAAATGGTTATTTTAAAAAAAAAAAAATACGAAATTCAAGATAAACGTCTCCTTGTATAGTTACTTCTTTACACGGTAAAACACGGTTATTACATAAATTAAGTCCCGGTCGGTAAAATCGCTGGCAAAGTGGAAAAAAATAAAAGGAAAAAGAAAAAAAAAAGCAGCTACTCGATTAGCACGCGGTGAAATAACCGGTGATGCGAAACCACCCTATACAGGCGAGAGGGGGAAAGAAACAGGATTAATGCTACTTTATTCCCGTTGCCATTTCGTCCGCGTTTCTTTTTTTCGTTCCGAAAAAAATTTTTAGTCCGATAAAGTTCCCTTCCATTCTATATTTTCTGTAATTTACGCACTTCGGTTAAAACAGGCATAAACTCGTTACAAAGTATAAAATGCAATCGTTTCTTTTCTTACTCGACGCGAGTCACCTGCGTTATCTTTTATTATTTATTATTTATTCCTTGCTAGCTTTGCAAGCGTTTCGCATTCCATTAACTTCTACGCTGGAATATACGCGACGGAAAAGATTAAACATCATTCTCGACATTAACCTCCATCTTTCGACCCGTGAAGAATCATCGAGTACCAGCAGTTTATGATAAAAATATTCGAGTATAGTTAACAAAATTCCTTCAAAATTTTATTCTACGTAGTGCAATTGAAGATACATGAATTTCTTTTGATAATATATAATAATTGTAAATCGTACGATCGTCGAATTTTTTTTGTAATTTCAAATTAAAGAAAGATTCGCGCTCGAATTCAAAATCCGCCGCTTTCCCGCCTCTTTTGCTCGCATATCGATTCGTGACGCGGTTGAAACTTTTAAACCTCGTGTTTTTTATTGCTACGAATCCGTTTGTTTAATTTCGCAAAGTTTAAACAAATAAAGCCAGTCGAGATTCGTGAAAAAAGAATCGAAGTTGGCTTCGAAACTTTCGCGCCCATTCCTCTCTGTTTTCCTCAGTATCGATTTTAAACAAAAATTTAAAAATATATATATATATATTTTCGATTGCTATAAAATTGCAATAATAAGATGAAATGATAATAAGATGAAAATGTAGATACATTATTGGATTGTAAAACAAAAAAAATTCAAAGACGATTTGTGAACAAATTTTAAAGAAATAATATTATTTCTTCAATTTTGTAATGCAACAATAATACAAAGATAAATTCTATTTCAAATAGAATCTTTAAAATAAATTTTGAAAAAATAAAATCACCACTCCGATTTATATCACAATCTTCAAATTCTTGCAATTTTTTTTCTAAATTTTCTTCCGATTCCAAGTCTCTCGTTACTTTAAGTTCGTTGTTACGATTCGAAATTACCTGTACACATATTCAAAACCCTATTTGGGGGAGGATTGTTTCAAAAACTATAGATATAAAAGATTGGACTGTGCGTTCCCCGATGCTGGTCAAACCGTTCGAACCGGCATCTTTCGCGTGTATTGTGCCCGCATCAATGCCAGATAGCCAAGTTGTTTGCCAGTGATGTGGACAATGTGTACGCTCGTATATCTTCAAGCAGAAGAATAAATAACAATGGTACAAGTCCATTTGCCTGATGAATAGAAAGAAGGGCCATTCACAGAGACAAGTCGTAACGAAGTGGCTATACATTCGTGTTCGTTCCTCTGTACGCCTATAATATACGTGTGTGTATCTCTTTCCTTTTTTTTTTTTTTTTTTGTTTTTATCCTTTCGCTATTTACCATGATCTATTCGAGCATTGTCCATCAACGTTTCTTCGTGGCTTGATCGTGAATTTTTTCTTTTTTTTTTTTTTTTTTTTCCCCTCCCCAAAGCGATTCGCGACATTTTTGAGATTTGTATCCGACGGGGAAAAATGATAAAAATGGCGGAGGAATTTCGATTCGAAAACGTTACATTTTCAAGAAATGAGAGAAAATTAAACGCGCATGTATCTTTCTGGAAAGTTTCGAGGTAGATCTTTTTTTAAAAACGACGTTTGTGATATTTTTGGGATTTCTACGTTTCTGAAACAGTGAAATAATAGTAAAAATGGCGGAAGAATTTCGATTCGAAAACGTTACATTTTCAAGAAATGTTTGTGAAAGATTGTGAAAGAAAAGAATCTTTCTGACGGATCATCTTTTTTTAAAAACGACGTTCGTGATATTTTTGGGATTTGAAATGATAAAAAAAAAATGGCGGTAAAAATGTCGGATTTTCAAATTCGAAGAAAGCAGGTATCTCTTAATAAACTTAAAAAAAATTCAACTCAACATCCAGTTTGTTTGCAAAAGCTTCCTATTTTCGCGTGATATTTTGCATATGACTTTCCTTGTTGACATTTTTCAGTTCTTTGGATATGCGCATAGAGAAACAACTTTGATACTCGCATGGTAAAAATGTCGTTTCCTTGCGAGAGTGGAGGAAAAAAAAAAAAAAAAACCGTGACTTTTCTCGTCATAGGGAAAAAGTTGGACTACACGGTTATTCGCGGATTTTCCCGGTAATTACTTTCATGTAAAAATTACGCCGGTTACGCTCTTGTTAATCGTGACAAACGCTATATATTTTATTCCACCGCGTTATTATATAACATGATGTAAAAGAAAAGGCCCAACACTTTGCACAAGTTTTACAATTCTTGTAAAAGTGTTTAAACTCAATCTAACGGTTTAATATTTAAAAACATAATAATTGAAAGTTTTCGAAGAAAACAATTATATATTTTTCTCCGTAAATTCATTCTGCTAAGAATTATTCTTCCAAGAATAAGAGATCTTACGAATGCACAATTTTTTCAATTTGTAATAATTAAGAAAGCACAAAGTTTATTCGAACGATAAACTTTCCAAAAAAAAAAAAAATTCCTCAAAAATTAAAATTAAAAATCGTACGCTCTCTCCACGAAATCATGGTCAAATGACGATTCGCTCGATTTAAATTTGGACAGATTTCGCGAGCCGAGGAATTTCCTTAATTCGAGCATAAATAAAGATCGACCAATGTTAACGAGCCTGTTAACGGCGAGATGGAGGGTGGAGCCGGAATGAGTCGATTTATATTCGCAGACCGTGATAATACGGGGATACTTGCGCATGATTTCCTTTGTATCCATGTTCCTCTTACTTTAAGCGACCGCGAGATAAAGTTCGTCTCCTCGGTGGAAATTCCGAATAGCGAGAAGGGTTCGATGGACGATTTTATCAAAGAGACTTTACTCTCTCTCTCTCTCTTTTTCTCCAATCGGTTTTTTTCATTGATATTACGCAAGCTCGAATCGTAATCACAATTGTGAATTTTTCGTTTTGAGAGCGAATCAGTGAGATTCTCGCGATAATTGGATTCTGAATTAATAATGGTTAAGATGGTTTCGTCTATTGGAAGAGATTGCAACTCTCCTGTAATGAAATGGAATCTTCCTTTAAATCGTTATTTCAATTTTATTTAAATGTAATGTTTTTTATGTAATTCATTTGGATAAAGATATTTGTATTTCGCAATTAATTAATATGATGTTATTATATGTAATTTTGTTATTGTTATATATATATATATATCTGCTACTATTATTATTCTTACGATTATTGTTCTTCAAAGATCTAATTAATGGATTTTTTATGAAATTTTATTTTATAATTTATGAAATTTTNATATATATATATATATATCTGCTACTATTTATTCTTATTTTCTTTATTTTCTTTATTATTATTCTTACGATTATTATTGTTCTTCAAAGATCTGATTAATAGATTTTTTATGAAATTTTATTTTATAATTTATGAAATTTTTTTTCTTTATGAAAATTTCTTTATTTTAGATACATCCGGATAAATAGGAGAAATAATATCGAAAAATTTCATACGACGATTTATAGGATTATAATATTTCTTCGTTTTCTTTTTCAGAAAAATACTTAAGACTATTTTGGAAGGCATCAGTTTCATTTTCTTGCTATTAACTCTGATCGTTTACATTTGCCTGCCTGTGCTTCAAAATCTGCATGGAAAAACTCTCATGTCCCACGTGGCGAGTCTTATGATAGGATATCTTTGCATTTCTTTATTACCTTGGTTGAGAGATATTAAACAGAATAATATCATATTCTGCTGTGCATCAGGTACGTATTACTGATTTATGATATATTTGTTTCTTGATCAAATTAAAATACGAATTAGATAAAATTAAAGTTCAATTTGAAAAAAGTTGAATAGAATTAACAATATTGACAATTATTAGAATTACCAAAGAGATTATCGAAGAGAGAAACATGTATAAAAATATCTATCTTGTTTGTGGAAGAAATAATACCGTTTATTATTTTATTAATGTCACGTAAAAATGGTTTGTACATATTTCATAAATACACAATTCGATCGGTCTGTATGCAATCATGCTTGGATATTTTCATGGGTTATTTTCAGAATTCTAGTGTTCCGTGTAATTCCTTTAGTCACCTTTGAAAATATCACTTTGACTCGATATTGAACGAGAAGTTGCGTTAAATTCGATCTATTTTTCCTTTAAAATATTCGTTTTTCGCGTTATATATTTCGAATTTTTCGATTATCAATAAATAGTTATCTACGTTATAAATCAGATTTATAAGAGTATATTTTTCGCGTTAAATAGAATAATAAATAAGTAGGAAGTTCTATATTTAGTCTCAACTTCAAGAAACTGAAAGTGAAAATTATAAAACTTACGATTAAGAAAGCAATGTAAATGTCTTCGAAGTCACGGAGGAATTTTAATATTTAATGTGTTCGAGAGAATGGTTACTGGAGAAAAATGATGAAATTTTTTAATCTAAAATTGTAGAGAAAATTGTAGAGAAATAAAAATCTAATTTTTTTTAATAATTATCTCTTCTCTTTCAGTGATTCAAATTCACTTTTTCACGGTAATATCAATTTTAAACAAAAACGAAAGTTTAAAAATTTCCATGTCGCACTCTATCGAATAAAATTGGGAGCGAGAATGAAATAATAGAAATCGAGAGCTAAAAATAGAAATCATATTAAAAATATCGATAAAATAAAAAAAAAAACAACAACAAACAAAAAACAAACAAACAATAAAACTATTACATGTCATCATAAATACCAAAATTCATTAATTGTATCTATTCATCGTAACGTTCACAATCCGAATCTGAAATTTGGACACGTTTGAAAAAACTCGTTTAAAATGTTTTATTCGAAAAAAATAGAGATAAAATATATGATACTTCTTTATTATAATTAATTCGATAAAAGAATAAAACTCGATAAGACGAAAGAAAATGCAAATAAATGTTCGAAACTGTATTACTAAAAAAATTATTTAAGAAACTACATCACTAATTGACAACGGAAAAAAGAAACGTACAACTATTATAAGGAACCATTTATCTTCATTTTCAGGATTCTTGTTGCTCTTCTCCTTCCTGTCAGCTTTTTCCTGGTTGAACATCATGTGCTTCGATATATGGCGAACATTCGGGTAAGATGTTACTAGCCATCTACCTTAGACGCGTTGTTTCGACTAACTTCTTACATTTTTCCCCATCTTTTCTCTTCTCTTCTTTCAAAAGATTTTGATTAAATTTTTCACGTAAATCGATTTTATAAAAATATCTACAAATCAGAAGATTCTATTTATTTCCCCCCCCCCCCCAATTTTTCTCTATTTTATAAAATCTAATAATACGAACGATATATACACTTTCCATTCTCACACCACAACGATTTTTGCTCCATCGTCGAACGAACGATCGATCGATAAAATCACCGCGCGCCAACTCGGTCGATAAACATCGTTTCACAGTGATGGAATTATCCGATCCAGTCTATCTTGGCCGTAATTTGAGGAATATCATTTTGTTCTCCGGTTACTAATTTCCTAGTATCGTCACGTTCGCCAACAACGGAACAACAATAATTCAGTCCACCTTCCATCCGCGTCACGCTAATATGTTTACCGAGATTTAATTTACAAATTACGCTGTCCGCTGTTAAAACTACGATAAACTGTCGTTCAAACTGATGTTTTACGTGAAATTCTGTAACTGGAATAAATTTCTCAATATTAGTGGGCTATAGTCAAATCAACTTTTATTCCTTTTTTCTTTTTTTCTCGTCATAGGGTGATTCATAGTATCATACAGCGCAGACTAAATACTGCAGAATGGAGTTATTTTTCATTGCCTACGCAATTCTCGTTATCATTCTTTCGCGATATTTTATCATTATTTATTATTTTTATTTTTTTTTATCGTTATTTATTCTTATCTCTTCTTTTTCGTCTCTTCATCCTCTGTCTCTTTCCCCGTCTAAACGGATATCTTTTTGGCTCTCTCCCTCGGCTATAATTCTCGATCGAATGGCGGACGTCGAGCCACTGATTTAATTCCGCGCTGTCGCTTCGCGAAATGTTCAGACATATTATGCGGTACGAAGCGGCGTGAAATTGCGAGATTGCTTCGGTTTAATCGTCGATCTTCGAATTAATCTAGCTTATTTTTCTTTCTTTTTTTTTTAATCTAATCGAAAAATGATTTCAATTATTTTATCGATTAAAGAAATTCGTGGTATTTTTGGCAATATGGATTTTTTAATTAATCATTTATACGAATCTAAAATTTATATCCGTTAATTATTAATTATTCGTTATCCTTAGAAAAAAAGCATATTAATTCGATCAATTTTCATTAATTTTTAATTCTATCTATCTAAAAAAAGTAATAATAAACTTTAAGAAACGGAATCCAATTTCAGATTGAATCGATGTTATCTTTAACATTTTTTCTTTTTCTTTCCGTGTCTTCGTTTCTTTCAGATCGAACTGAAGAATTATCTTTGCAAAATTTTAATTACGTTAATACTTTCAAGAAGCTTCGAATATCGAATAATTTCTTATAAAATAAATCTTTCAATTGTTTCCTAAGAACACGAACGTTCTCGCGAATATAATCTCTCATCTCAACAGACTGCAGGAAGTTTGTGTTTCTTGGCTAGTAAATTTATAAATATACCGGAGAAAATAGATCTACGTGAATTGAGAATCACGTTGTCTTGGCACCATCCGCTTTTCTCGTTAACTTTGCCGAATTATTTCATCCATATTTCCCCGAAAATTGGTATTCCATTCATAATGTTCTCATTTATCCCGATCAATGGGGATATATTTATAATCTCTTCGTAATCGGGCAAATTTCTCGTGTTATCGTGAAGTGGCATATGAATTAACTTAATTCTTTTTCTTTTTTTTTTTTTTTTTTTTTTACGAATGTTATCGATCAGGAAGGGATTTATTTTTGTAAGAATAAAAACGAAATTTGTTCTTCAAATTTAAATTCTCTGTTCTAAAGAATTTTCTTGATAATAATAGAAATAAAAAGTTTGATTAAAATATATTCCTTTCAAAATAATTATCGATCAATTCTTTTAATAATCACGAATATATTGCGATAGATATACGAGATAAGACACGTTTAAAAAATAGATAAAGGTAAGTAATAATGATTTATTCACTACGTTCGCGATTCCAAGAACTACAACAATTTTTTCGATTTAACTGAAAGGAGTCATAAATCGACAATTATATCTCGCATCTGTTTCGTCTCATGCCAAAAATTCTTCCATTCCCTTGGCATCCAATGTATCAATATGGTAACGAAATATTATTATTTCGATTCGTTTACGCGTTGATCAATCTAAAGTTGTGCAGATTTAACGTTTATCCATTTAGTTTTCAAACGTGTGATTTGTTTAAAAAAAAAAAATAAAGCTTCTGTCTCTGTGTTATTGTATCGGTATTTAAAATTAGGATTCTTATCTAGACGATATTTTTAAATCCTCGCGTTTTTTAATTAAATTAAACAGAGTTGAATTAAAGTAGAATTTGAATAGAATTTGATAATTCTTCTTGATATTGTTGAATATTTAATAATATTTTTTTTTAAATAAAAAATTTCGTTATCTCGCGATTCACATTAAGATTTCAAAGATATTCATGGATTATAGTAACAATATCGTAATTACGGATAATTTAATATTCTTACACAATGAAATCTCGTTTCTGATTATTATCTATTCAAACGTTTCGTACTGTTCTTGTCGCCAATTTTAGTTTATTACAATTTGTACGTATGTCTTTGTCAATTTAAAACTTTATTGACTAATTTATATAAAAATATAGTGAGATTAAATCCAATATTTTGCTAATATCAAAAACTCTTATTAATTCTTAAAGTCACAAATATCCTTAAGAATTTTCAAAATATTCGTATAAAAATTGAAAGAAAATATGGAAAAAGAAAAATGAACGTGTCATGGAACATTTCAAAGATATTTTTTGATAAAAATTTAGATACTTTTAAATAAAAATGAATATTCTCTTTCCAGGAGGTTGCAGGGTAATTTCACCAGAGATCAAAATCACGGCAAGACGTTTCTATTGTATTGTCTATACGCGTGGGGTCTGCCAATGTTCATCACGGTCTTTGGCATCCTGGACGATCAGATTTTAATTCTGCCAAATAATTTCCGTCCTCATTTTAACGAGTACTGCTGGTTCAAAGGTGAGCCATCAACATTGAAAATGATTACAAAAAATTATTTCAAATTCGTATATCGATCTTGTATAATGCTTGGCCTCTTTTTCAATTGCTTCTTTCTCGTTGATCAATAATTAAGATTCCTTTCAATTTTCAATAAAACTTTCGCGTTTTCCTGGCCGAGCTATGATGTCAATCGATTAAATAATCCAAGTTTCATCGAAATTGGACGGTATAGGTAGTTCTTTTGAACGATTCCTTTGAAACTGAGATAATATCTTGAGTAAATTATCGGTTTTATTTCCGAGATGATTGGCAATTCCGAGAATATAATATTGCTTCTATAATTTACGATTTTTATCAATATAATTGTTCCGTGGAATCTAAAATTGTTTTGTAGAAATAATTTTAATTTTATTTAAATTAATTAAGAATGATATATTATTAATTTGTTGCAATAATCGTTCATAAGATATGATATAAAATTTCCAAATGCAATATATATATATATATATATATTAATTTACAATATGAATATAAATTAATAAGCAAGATAATGAAAAATTTGACAATTGATATTGATAAGTTAATATATATTGTATATTTTTTATCCTTGTCTTTATACAAGCATATTCCTCATTGAACAGTATAAATCTTTCTACTCTGTTATTTTTAATTCCAATCTATTTATAACCCGGAGGAGAAATATAAATTTATTATAAATTAATAGAAATATAAATTTGCAAACGATCAGTTTGTTTCTTAATTTTTGTTACATAACTGATCAATGAAAAAAAGAAGAAAACAATTGTAATCGTTGCTATTCTTTTTATATTTTTTTTCACTTTTTCTTCGCGAAATTTATATATTCATTTCTACTTTTTTTAACAATAGCAATTTTTACAACTTTTCCTTTGTGTACATACCCTCGTCGAATTCCAATAACGATAAGCTGGAACTAGCTTTGCCAGTCTCGACGTCGAACCGTCATCTACACACACACGTACACTGTCTGTTCGAGACTGATTGGCATGGATAATTCTTGTAAAAGGTCGACCTAAATCCTTCTTTCTCCTTTCTATTGTCGAGCCACGATATCGATTGTTCGATCTCTGTAAATATTTATCGCGTATTTGTATTTATATAATTTTAAAATCAATGTTCAAAGATTCATTTGCACGTGTGTGCAATTATTAACAACATTGCAAATTTTTCAGGACACGGGCAAATTATTTACTTCAGAGGTGTGGTCGCCATCCAACTTCTAACAAACATGGTGTTCTTCTTCTTGACGACAAAACAGTGCAACAAGGTGAAAGCAGAGTTAAAAAAGGTTACCATCGACCCATCAGATCCAAGGAACAAACAATTTCTCGCCAACAAATCCAAGTGAGTTCGAAATGGTGATTCGACGATACAACACAACAAGCATGATATATTTCACTCGATAAATGTAATTTTATAACCGAACTTTCAAAACTTTGAAATTTTTTCCAATAGAGAATTATCGATGACGAGTATCAAGATTTATCGGGAGATAAATCGTTACAATCGTTACTTTATATTCCCAAAATTACATTATATCAATTTCTTTCTTCGTTCACCTTAATTATCATCAAATTTATCATCAAAGTAATTATAATTACAATTATTAATAATTATTTTTAATTATTAAAATAAAAATCCAGATTCATCATAAACATGAAGCTGTTCATCGTGATGGGTATATCCTGGATAGGAGAGATCGTCTCGGCCCTGATCGAAAATTACGCCCCCTTCAAATACCAGAACCAACTTTTCTATCTGACCGATACATTCAATTGTCTCCAAGGCTTGTGGATATTTATCCTGTTCGTGGTTAAACGTCGGGTTCATCAGGCGTTGAAGAAACGGCTAGGCTTCGACGAGAAGAAAAAGTTTAGCCGAGTTACCGCCTCCCTTCAAGATCCGTTCAAAATGAGGAAAAGCGTGAGTAACAGCACTTTAACGTCCACGTTCGCGGTTAGCTCGATACCTTGATCGATCGTCCTTCAAATTCTATTCATAAGTTCTAATCGATCCAAAGAAATATAGATATATTTTTTGTATTTTTTTTTTTTTCTACACAGAGCTATTATATATTTTTACATTCTGCTTTTCACGATGCAAGTACGATAACTTTATATCTTGGGTGTATAGAATAACGGAAATCAAATTGATATATGTATATATTGCGGATGTTTACGTTAAATTTGTTATTTTAGGATAAATATACCCTACGTAGAAAAAGATGGAGATTTTAGATTAGATATATATTTCGCACAATTCGAAGAATATATAAATATTTACGATTTAATCATATTTTTTTGAAATTTTGCAAATGTCAAAGAGGGGTATTTGTAATTTTTTCTTTTTTTTTTTTTTTTTCCACAACAAGTTCTATCCTTCTTTTTTTTCCTTTCTTAAATTTTAATTTGAACTTTCGTTAATCTTCCATTCACTTAGGATCACTTTTCGTTCTTCCTTCTTCGCAAAAATACTCTCAAAAATTCTATCTTACTGCCACGTTAGTTGACGTCGCTTTTTTTTTTTTTTTTTTTTTTTTTGTACAAATTGAGAGTACAAAAGTGGGAGAAGCTGGAAAAAGCTTTCCCTCTATTTTCCTCGATCGAAACTTTCCTCAGGGAATGAAAAGGATATTGTACATTTATTTTTTTTAAAAATTTAATCGGTATATTACTCGTTTATCTTATATATCGTATAAAATTATTGCATAAGTTTTATATAACGATGTTCATAATTTTCTATATTTGGATATATAGCTTATCGTTATACAGGGGAATTGTTCCTCGCCTGCATACGATAAATTTATAATCAAACAAATTATTACGTATTGTTAATCGAGCTTTAAATATCTATATCTGTTAAATTTATTAACGTTAAATTTATTATGTTCAAATGATGAATAATATTAAAAAAAAAAAAAAAAAAGAAAAAGAAAAATTAAATCTTCTTGCCTTTACCCACTCCCTCCCATTTATTAAAATTATTCAAATATCATTAATTAATCTTTTTCTATAAATATTCCTAGTTATCTTTTTCACTGCACCATTACTTTTTTTTTTATCGTCTCTTGCTACATTTTAGAAGATCGATGATCGTGATCTCATGTCCAATTTTCACTTCGCCAACATTTCGATCATATCACAGTTATATCGAAGAGAGAATCGAGGAAAGATCGGAGGACGAGCGAGAGATCGGCGTCTCTTTTAGCTTTTAGCTAACAAAAGCGATACGCAGGGGCGGAGAATGGCTGGTTTTTCCCCTTTTTTTCAAACCGGCTTTAAATCACGCACGATAAACGGCTCTTCCCCGAAAGGTTTATATTATATACCCCTCGCCCCGCTACGAGGAAACCACGAGGTTTCGTCGATTATTTTCACGGCAAAGGAAAATAATCGCGCGACACTTTGGAAAAAACGGTCGGTCGAGGGGAAATTATCTGGAAACGCGGCATTTCATCGAATTTTCGCGAACACTTTCCCGAATTTTTCGCAGATAATCCAACGATTACGTATCCACCATGGTTTCTTTCTTTTCTTTTTCGACGAGTTATTTATTTTACTTTTTTTCGAGGATGAGTGACGTTTGGAGGAAAGTTTGAAGAATGCGATATGCGATTGTTGTTTCGTGTATTTCGTTTAGATTATACGTATATCGAATACGTGTTACCTTGATTGCGCCAATTGGTTTTTTACGACGAGTTTACGATACTTTTTACGCGAGATTGCGCGAGATGAAAAAGATGTTTGGATGTATATGTACGAAAATACACGAGATGTAAGGTGCAGAAATATTTAGTACGCGAAATGGAATATACACATGTCGTAATATTTTTCGATTTGGCATGAAATTATTATATAGGTTTTAATGGTCTAGATTATATATAGTTAATTGGAATAAAAAATATAATTTAAACAAAATGCGAACGAAACAACAATTACAATTGTCGTTCAAACTTTCCTTCAAACGTCCGTATACTCATCCTCGAAAAATTTTTTTTCGATCATTTTGACGTACAATTGTCGTCTAATTGTTTTGGATCAAATATAAAAATAAAATTTCAGAATAGAAGAGAATAGAAGTATGGATTTTTTAATTTTTGAATATTTCGAAAAATATTTGACAGGAAAAACTATAAAGGAGCAGCAGGAGGATGTCGAGCAGTTTTAAATATAGGGAGGAATTTCATTTTACGTTCAATATTGATGCAATCTCCATGGATTTTTCAGAATTTTCTGTTACAGTTTCCCTCCCAAGATACAAAATTTTTCTTGCCTACGTATGTTTTTATAAGTATAAGGGCTTTCGCGGTGTACGAGAACTTATTTTAAGGCTGGCTTTATGAGAGAAAAGTTAAGACATGGATCTGAAAACCGGGTCAATCGTGGAGCACCGTCTTAACCGCGATTTAGATTTTTTTTTTTTCCAACGCGTCAAATGAAGAGCATTAAAAAATACACGCGATGAAACTAGGAATTATCCGTGAATTTCGATATCCTAATAATTAATCGGATATAATCGGTTACGGCGTTTAATTATTCACTCGTTCAATTAAAACACACCCCGGTTAATAATCAGTTAATTATCTTCTTTTGACATTCAAATTCGACGGCAAATTTAATCCAATACACCATCTCCATCCGTTATATTTCTCATTATCGATACGAGCTAAAAAAAAGAAAAGTTTTAATCACTCAAAATTAGTTCAACATCATCCCGAAGGAGTCGATGAAGATAATCGATAAGATAATTCATCCTTCGATTCATAATTATAAAAAAGATCTCTTTATCGTTTCAATTGTGACCATAATTAATTAAATCGATACGAATACGTATTTGTCAAGTGAAAATTAAGTAAAAAAAGAAACAAGATTTTAAACATATAAATTATTTTTAAAAAATATGACACTTCCTCTCATCATTCCTACACGTTTAGAAACGTTCCCTTGAAATCTGAAAAGAATGAAAATTGTGAGCACAATTCTGTTATTTCACCTTAATTGGCAAGAAGCGAAAATAAATATTGATATTGGAGAATCGATATTGGAGACGCTTTCTTCAAGAGGAATTAATAAACATTAGCCAAGATTTAATGCTTTATTACAAATCGATTTTTCTTTGACCAAATATTGACACTCTCTCTCGATCCGAGGACTGAAATCGGAAATCGCCACCTGTTCTTCGTACCTGTTCAGTTTGCCATTGATAAATCCTTGGTGAACGGCCATTCAGATATCGACCGTTTCCATCCCCGATAAATTCCTCTTGATTAATCGTTTTCCAACTCGATTCCGCTCTCGTACAATTAAGATAATGAAATACCGTTCCGGGTAAAAATTTATTATAAACAAAAGGGGGGCAATCGTTGGTCGCAAAGGTAGGTTCGTTTGAATTTTTTCCCAAATTTTCTTAATGGAAATTTTTGTAGAATGGAAAATTTTTTAAATTCGGTAAACGAATAATTGAATATTTTTTTCCAATTGAAAATTTTTTATAGTAGATAGTTTGATCGTTCTACTTCATTACCTTCGTTCTTTCGCGCAACCGATGATTTCCGCCGCCAGTTTCCGGCTCGAGGATTCCCAGATTCGAAAAGTCGATTTTCCCCTCACTAATTTTCCTGCCTCTTTGCGGCTTCCTCTTCTCACCGCCGAATCGATGCACACGCCGTGTTTCCATCTATATTCATCAAATATTCGCACGTATAACGAGAGTGAAACGAAGGAAAAAGTTTGGATAGTCTTTTCGCCGTACATTTTTAATATCATTATTTTTCGAAAAAACAAAAAAAAAAAAATTATGAAAAAGAGTTCGAAATAAATAAATAAAATACCTACTCAAAATTGAGAAACGACGACGACGACGATGATGATGATGATGGTGACCTACAGAAGAAATTTGTGAAAGAAATAATTCGAAACGGAATACGAGTCGAAGCTTTTTAAAAAAAATCGAGAAATTCAAATCAATTACACGACGAAGCGAATAACGAAGAAATAGAAAGATTGACAGCTACAGTGATTGTCTTTAATTACCAACAACATAATTAACGAATAGAATTCAGAGTTCTAGTAACAGTAAAATTTTAACTCTCGCACAGTCATCCACTTCCATTCTGAAGCAAATTAATCCCGAAGTGTTCTCCCGAGCTAATTAATTAATCGATTAATTTACGCGCAAATACAGTTTACTTCAAGTTTCAACCGATCGATTAATCAATTTGCCGACTCTACTGCATTCGCTCTCGTATTCAAGGTTAATTGTACGGACACGGTATACGTATATACAAATATACGTAGTAGGCACGTTCAACGCGCACAACAACTCCTCAAACGCGTCTGTAAATTTACAAATGAACGACAATTAGAATAATTTTACAAAACGTAATGTGGTTTTTTTTTTTTTTTTTTTTACATAATTGATCTTCTGAATCACCAGTTTTATTTACATCGTATTATAAATTTCACGCTTAAGTTTCAACGGTTCGAGTAAATATTTCGACATTTACTAAATTTCGATTTACTAAATAATTTAAATCTTCTTGGATGAGAGTTTCTTCTCCCCCCCCTTCCCAAGAACGGAACAACATTCAGTTTACCTTAAGTTAAAAAAGCGAACTTGTTCCCTTCTCCAAGAATTTTAATACGTCGTAAAATTTTACACGTATGGACAGAATCGTTATTATCGTCTCACAAGGCACTTTTATTTCACAAAAGAATCTTAAAATTCAAAAAAAAAAAAAAAAAAAAAAAATTCTATCAACTTCTACCACGAATATAAATTTTATTATCATAAAATCGTACCTCATCAACAATTGGGATTAATAACAATTATTCTAGAAAATAACTCTCACGAACATTCAATTTTTTTTCTTTTCCCCATAATCGAGCAACAAAATTCTTGAACGTCGAGAAACTTCATCGATGATCGAACTTATCGAATCATGACAGTCTTTGTTTATGTTATTCTCTTATATACTCCTTTATATACACACACATATATATATATATATATATAATTCGTCGATCGTATATTACACATATTAAGAAGATAAATCATCTCGTCAAAATTATGCGATGCAAGATACAATTCTCTCATGTCAGAAATAACTTGATCAAAGTTGTGTCAAAGCCTAAAAAAAAAAAAAAAAAAAAAAAAAAAAAAAANNNAAAAAAAAAAAAAAAAGAAAAAAAATAACTCGAAACTTTTTTAACCAGATCTAACCTTCTTCTTCGAATCGCTCGAGAAACGAGATATATTTCATCCGAATAATTTCGAATCGTCTTGCAAGAGGCAGAACGAACGAGCCATCTCTCCTCGGCCGGGGCAACGTTTCTCATCTCGAAGCGTACCGATAAATTGTTCAATTACTGGTCGAGGTATTCCACGCATAAGTCACCACTGTGAAACGTTATTAAGACATTAGCCGGGGTTTCGTTCGAATCGATCGATGTGAGCGTGTAATTCTACTATCTATAAAAAAAAAAAAAAAAAAAAAAAATTAACTACGTTCATTCTGAAAAAAAATTCTCTTCGATCGTAAAATATTCAACAGAAGAAAGATTACCAATATAATAATTATCGCCACAGAATAATAATAATTTCGTAATAAAATCCGATGGCTCGCGCATTTCTATTCGTCCGATATTCTACACATGTAACGAAGTAACCTTTGTCGATTCTTCTTCGTTCCTACAAACAAATCCTAGACAAATCTTCGCACACACATACACAAAAAAAAACTATAACTACGAACTTCACCCCTACCAAGTTACCAAGCAACGAATCAGAATTCGACCTCTCAACTCCTCCAAGAAATTTCCTCTTCTCTCGAACCCCTTCGCTCGACTCGAATCCTCAACGAATTCACACGTTGTTTCGATCCTCCAAGCACACGTAACGCACACACGCATCGCTTCATCTCGTCAAGGATCCACTCCCTCCTCCTCCTCCTCCTCCTCCTCTCCTCCTACGAGATGTATCCATAAATCGACGGATATATTCGGATATACACAAGATATATAAAATCGGATAAAACGTCGACGAACGACACGCAAATCCTCTCTCGGTCGAAATTCTCGTTCGTTATCCTTCGATTCGCATCCCCACGCGGAGGAGGCGAGCGAGGTGGTGGAGTCGGGGAACGCCTCAAGGCTTCCTCTCGTTTGCGGTCTCCTCGAGGTCCGGGTCCTCGTTGATGATGGAAATGTCTCGAATCGAGGGTCTGCGCGCCTTCCAGCCCTCGGGCGGCGCGACGGGCGCCGTGGTCTTGGTGAGAAGTTTCGGGCCGGAGAGAGTGATTATGATGGCACCTGCGGGGGCCGTGAGCAGGATGGATAGGACGCATATGGTCATCACAGTCTCGGCGTAGTAAACCTGCAAAGGGTCGTTGGGGTCCACCTTGTCGAGGGCCGTGGGCCCGAGGGCGGCTTGGACGGTCGCCTTCGCCATCCAGGACAGGGCGATGAATATTTTCTCCTTCAGGTTCAAGTTGGAACCCACACCGACGAGGACGGTGGCCACCACGCGGATCACTATGCCGGCGAGCAGGCAGCTTATGCCCAGGTAAACCGTCTTCCCCTCCAATTCGTCGATCTTGATTTGGGCGCCCGTAACGCCGAACAGGATCGGCTCGAAGATCATCCAGAAGATCTCGAACGCTGTCGCCACCGGATTCTGGAAAAAAAAAAAGAAAAACAAAAGAATTTGGTTAATTTTAATTTTTCACCGAGATTTTCGACCCGATCTCCACTTTCTAATCTCAGCTCGTATAATTCGAAAAAGCGTGTCGCTCGGATCAGAGGGGAAGCCTCCCAACGTTTTCCGGACGACGTTTAATCCGGATTATATCCGGAGATGCGAGAGAATTTGGAAAACTGTCGCGATCAAACAAACGCGAGTTCGATCGACGATGCTCCTCCGCTGCCATTTGTTTCCAAGCGAATACAAGCTACGTGAACAGCTCGCCGGGGACTAATCCTCTTACGCGATAGTATTGCTACGTAAGGATGACACGGTCTAAGCGGTTTTCCACGATCGTATCGTGAAAAATAGGGAGAGAGAGAAAATTTCGTACGGAACCTCGAAGGGAGTTTTTCTAAAGGAATATCCAAATTTTCCAATAATCCTTCGACATATGTTCTGGGAAAATAATCTCGTTTCGTCGACGTTTATCACATTCATGGTTAATAATTTAAATCTATCTTATGGGAAATATTGACGTGTTCGCGAAAGGTTCTCGATTCATCATCAGAGATCGAAACAAAATTTGATTTACAAAAACATTTAATTATTAAGTTATAAATAATTTATGTTTTAACGAAGATTCGAGATAATAGTAACAGAGACAGAATGATCTCGTTCCCTTTCTTCAATTTTTCGCAAACTTTAATTTTTTATGACTTGATAAATAATCTTTAATTTTTGTACACCGATTTTGAAATCTTGGAATCTCTCCAAAACATATTTTATAAATATTAAATAATACGAAAACCGGTAACGCAACATATCTGCATCATGCAGATTTCCTATCCCACGCCAGTTGACGCGTACAATCGCGTCATGAACTTTTTCAAATAATGCGAAACAATTTTTTCATATGCTTTGTATTTCTTCCACATACTAACTTTTCAACTTCAAGTAAGCACTGCCATTTTCCATTTCCATGTTGCATTTTTCTACTTATGGAAAAATCAGAAATTCGATTTTTGTCTCGAATATGTTAATATGCTTTAGAAATTTCCAACAATCCATACATCTGTATACTATCTTTTCAACTTTACAAATGCAACCATTTTCGATCTTTGCTTATGGAAAAATCAGAAATTCGATTTTTGTCTCGAATATGTTAATATGTTTTACAAATTTCCAACAATCCATACATTTATATACTATCTTTTCAATTTTACAAGTGCAACCATTTTTGATCTTCGCTTATGGAAAATCAAAAATTCGATATTTGTTTCGAATATGTTAATATGCTTTAGAAATTTTCAACAATCCACACATCTATATACTATCTTTTCAATTTTACAAGTGCAACCATTTTCGATTTCTGCTTATGGAAAATTAAAAATTCGATATTTGTTTCGAATATGTTAATATGCTTTAGAAATTTCCAACAATTCATACATCTGTATACTATCTTTTCAACTTTACAAGTGCAACCATTTTTGATCTTCACTTATGAAAAATCAAAAATTCGATATTTGTTTCGAATATGCTTTAGAAATTTCCAACAATTCATCTATATACTATCTTTTCAACTTTACAAGTGCAACCATTTTCGATTTCTACTTATGGAAAATCAGAAATTCGATATCTGTTTCGAATATGCTTTAGAAATTTCCAACAATTCATCTATATACTATCTTTTCAACTTTACAAGTGCAACCATTTTCGATCTTTGCTTATGGAAAATCAGAATATTTGTCTGAAATATGTTAATATAATATAATAGAAGCAGAAATTTCGATGTACGTCCGTATACTATCTTTTCAACTTTATAACTACAACCATTTCTGATTTTCTTGCATTTTTCTTATCTCTACTTATGAAAAATCAGAAATTTATTTATATTTGTCTGAAATACGTTAATAACCCGTAATATCAGAAATTTCCAACGATCGATGCACGTCATCGTTTTCCACCGGAAAGATATTTAATGCAAAGGAATTATTTATAATCGTTCTAACGATTCTCGACGAGACTTTAAAGGCGACAGCACCGCGTTGGTTGCCGGTATTAATGTTGTTGATTTACAACGGCGGAAGAGCGGAGGATCGTTAAGTCGAGGTTATTAAGTGGCGCAATATCCAACGCGAAATATTAACGATATTGACGATGTTTCGCGACAGACGATGAATAATAAGAATAACGTTGCCTACGAACGAGCTAATCGTATTTTTCCAACGTCGTAGAGAGAGATTCACGATGGATGGATTTCGAAGCCACGCGCCAGTCCAAGATTCCCGCCAAGGCTCCCTTCTAAGAAAATGTAACGCGAAACTTTGATTATCGACGGTCTCGGCTTACCGACGATACATCCTTGTCCATTTAATTTTCTGGCGAGAGAATTTTAACATTATCCCTGAGATCGTGATAAAGAATTCTATCGAGAATCTTCGTTTACTTTTTTAATTGAAGAGAGAGAGAGTAGATAAATTATTCTCGAATTATCAACGATGAGATAGAATATGGTAGAAGTTTATCGTGCAAGAATAATTTTTGACAATTAAAATATTAGATCGATCACGAGGAAATTATTTATTTAGATTTTTTTAATGATTTTAATAATAATAAATTTAATAATATTATAAATTAATAATAATAAATTTAATTTTAATTAATTAATAAATTTTTTAATGATTTTAATAACTCTTTCCCTCTCTGTATAAATTTCGTTCGAATTAAAATCAACTCCTATTTGTAAGAAACATTCAACCTTGACCCCCTCAACTTTACATTCTCAACCTGTGAAATCAATGTAATTCAGAAACTCTAATTATTACACGGCCATCGAAGAACTCTCAAGGAAACTGCTCGTCGATGCAATTCGATATTTCAATATTCGCATTTGCATAAAATAACAAACAATAGGCATTCCATCGCGAAAGAGTCACCGTGCAATTATCGATTCGATATTCAACAATGTAACCGGATTCGAGAAAATTTTGATTCGACGAATCATCGAAAAAAGTTTCCTTTCGAGAATAGTAAAAAAAAAAGAAAAAAAAAAAGTGAACCGTGTCAGAACTTACTTCAGCAAAAGTAACACGACGCCAGCTCTGAAAACCGTTTCACAATTTCCAAACCATTTCCAAAATTGTTTTGAGGATCGAGACTCTGGCATGTATGCACACAGATATACACATAAAACGTTCGTTTCTCGAAGATTATCGCAAATATAACACAACTCTCAAGTAAACCGATAATTAGATTAATATTACATACAAGATGTTTATCTTGTGACAAATTTTATAAATATTCAAAGAATATCCTTTGATGATTTTGATGATTTTTTAATTGTCAAAATTTCGTGATCAAAAAATTAATCTAACCTATTAATTTCAAATCCAATGCGAAACCAAAAATTAAATAAAAATTCATTCAATCGTTATATTAATAATTTTTGTCAGTTTTCAACGAGCACAACTGATGATCTATTAAAAAACATATTCAAAAAAAAAAATCATCTACTACTACTTTATTGCTAATATTTAATTCTTTCTTTTTCCCTTCCTTTCCCTCCCTTGTTTTACTTCCTCGCTATCCCAATTTCCTTTTCGTGAATAATTACCCTAATAATTTTTCTATCAACATCATCTCTGTACACAGCCAATATTAAACTTAAGATAATGGACGAACCAAGGAGCGTTTCTGTCGCACGTCCTCGGCCCATAATCCAGCGCACAATTCCCCCCATCGGTTGATTTCACGTAATTGAATTGCATCGGTCGTACACCGGGCATGCATTAATTAACGCGGTCTGATCGAATAAGTTAATTAGGGGTTGCCAGTTCTTTTCATCTCCCCCGGCCCGAATCGGCCGAGTTTCTTTATTTCCACACCTCCTTCTCGTCTCCTCCTTCCTCTCTTCCTTTCTCACCTGCCTCTTTTACTTTCACCTCTGCTCTCTCTCTCTCTCTCTCTTTCTCTCATTCCATCGTCTTACCAGCTTCCACACCACTTCGACGAGAGGCTTTCAACGCGAACCTGTAACCAGAGCAACCCTCGGCATTTCGCATAATTAATGAAATCGATCGTCGTTGGAGGAAGGCGAACTTCATTATATAACCTCCACTGGTTAATTACCAACCCCTCTCGTTTTGTCGATCGACGAGCGCCGCTTTGCGCCGTTTCGTCCCTCCCTTTCTTCGTTTAGAATCGAGATCATGCCTTCCCTTGTAGGGGGAGGAAAAAATCGATCATCCATTCGGAAGAACGATCTTTCCGTCCCTCGATTGTAAAATTGGCGTGTGTATGTGTGTGTGTGTGTTTATTGGAAAAGAAAGATGTCATTTTTGTCTCCAATATTTTTCTTTCGAATATATATATATATACTTTAACAAATGTTTCTTGTCGGAAATGAATTTTAATGAATTTTATTATTAAATCTGATATTCGCGTGTATACGATCCTGTCATTTCGTTGCATTATCTTCTTGCATTTATTTTTTAATATCGAGTTTCCTAATATCGAGTTTCATTAACGGAAAGCTAATTTTTCTCATATTTTATTTCGTATTATTTTCCAAGTTTCCGGATATCGGACTTATTATTAGTTTATCGGTTTTCCCTCCTTCCTTCTTTCTTTTGATAATGGATAATATTGGTGTGGATGGTAATGGCGGTAGCGAGCCAATAAGAATTTTATTAGCGCAAAGATTTTTCTCGTTCCCTGTTATTCGTGATTAAAACTATATCTCGCCTCGAATTAAAATGAACATCGATTTCGATATCGGGAACAATCAGGCCAACCTTTTATCGTGACGCCAACGATTAACCGTCGAATTTTTAATTTTTAATAATAAAACCCGTGCACGGAAATTTTTTTCATAAAAAAAAAAAAAAAAAAAAAGAAACCCTCTTCCTCGCGATATATCGTATTCCCCCTAATTCCGTGCAAATGAAACGAATTCTCTGAAATATGTCGAAGATAGAATTTTTATCGAATAT